GCCACCCATTACGCGCCACCCGTGGTGGCCTGGGCGGAGCTCGCTCGCGCGACCGCCTGCGGTGGACGGGACGGAGCTCGCCCGCGCACCGCTCGCCGAGCCCGCTACTGCCTGTGCGGCCTTTCGAGCCCACCCCTGCACGGCCAAGCACCACCAGTCGCCGGAGCCGAGCCCACCCCTACCCGGTCGAAGCATCACCTCTTCTGCACGAGTGCACAATTGGCCATGGCTGAAGGTTGAAGAAGATCTCTTTACAGTTTAGCCCTACCCTTTCTATCTTATAAATTCGTTGTATAATGTGTCTTGTGAATCTTCCCGATAGCCCCTTGTTAAACTTTACACATCTCATTTGGTCAGCGAGGTGAGGGCATTTGGGACTTTTTCCAACGCAGATTGACACCGTTAGATGAAAAAGTGAACGGAATGGCTTGGGAGGCAAAAAAAAAGTGTCATGGCATCTGGGTGCACCTGAACTTTTTAGTGACATGTAGAAAAGTGCCATCTTTTTTAACGGTACACATGTAAAACTCTCGCAGAAGAAGGCTGTAAGGGGGAGCAGCGCGTTATGGATGCACAGCGCGGGAAGGACGCAAGCAGGACCGGCGAGGACAGGGCAGGGCGTGGGCAGCCACAAGAGGTGCACAACATTTTTAGGGATCTCCTCGGGAACACTGGAACCGAAACTCCGGTCCAAACCAGACCTCTGCCCCAGGCACTCAGGTTTCAAAAATTAATTTTAGTGCAAACACCGAACCTCCGGTTCAAACCGGAGCTCCGATATGAGCTCAGCCTAGAGCGACAAAAATCGAATATTTTCGGGACCTTCGGTATGGGCTCTCAAATTTCAGTATAAAAACCAAAACATCCATAACTTTTAGCTCCGATCTCCGATTTCGATGATCTTGGACATTCCGAAAAGCTTATCCGGAGGGCTATCCATCTCAACAAACTTCATTTTCAAAGCCTTTTCCAAAAGTGCTCAACTCTACCAAGTGCTCCGACATGTAAAGTGTGAGTTAGCATGTCTTAAGATAATTAATTATCAAGTAACACTGGGGTGTTACAGAATATGCCAACAGAACATTCAGAAATAAACGAACTGTGGTCGGTTGACATGGATTCATATTGGTTGCTATTGATTACTTGCCGAAGCGGGCAAAAGCAGACCCTCTCAAGAATATGACTCATCGCGAGGTAATTGAATTCATTACCGAGCTTATAATACGTAGATTCGGCATTCCTCATACTTTCACCATAGATCAAGGAACGTCGTTCATATCTAAAGAGATATATGCATTCGCCGAATCTTATAAAATTAAGTTACTTAATTTATCTCCATATTATCGTCGGGCCAAGGATCAAGTCAAGTAATAAAATTTTGACCAAACTCATTAAGAAGAAGTTGGAGGATAATCCTAAGCGTTGGCATGAAGTTTTGCCTGGAACGGGAACATTTTGTGACTAAGCATGGTATTACTAAAGTTATTCCTTTCGAATTTGTGTATGGACAAAGAAGGTGAATCTAGATGCTTGGCAGGGCTCCTCCTGAGGGGCTACTGCAGAGGAGTCCAGTTTTTCACTGAAAAAATGGCTGAACATTTGGTAGGGCTCCTCCGGAGGAGCATGAGAGAAACTCTACCAAACAGGCCTAAGCAAGATGAGCTGTCTACTAAGGAGTATCATGAGTTGATGATGGAAAATAATGATTGAAGCTGCCGATGAGAGGCTCAAAGCTTTGAAGGAGATTGAATGAAAAGGATAAATATATGTATCTAGAGCATATAACAAGAAAGTCAAGTTAAAATCTTTTCAAGTAGGAGATCTATAAAATGATTTTGCCAATTGGGTCGAAGGCGAATAAGTTTGGTAAGTGGTCCCCAAGCTCGAAAGATCTATATGGAGTTATGAAGATAATTGTGGGCAACTCCTAATGGTTGAGACATTGCAAGGTGAGGATCTACCTAGAGCTATTAATGATAAGTACTTCAAAAAGTATTATCCTAGTATGTGACAGGAAGCTTAAAGTATGCATGGCCGATAATACGATTATCCCCCTTAGATAAAATGTGGCCAATAAATATTTGTAATTATCATCCTTAGTTAATTTTTAGTTCATAAAATTGGTTTTTTTTGGCATGCAAGCTTTGCAAAAAAAAAAGAGGTATATGTTTGCCGTCAAAATTGACAGACCTACACCAAATGGTCTGATGAAGCCGCCCAGGTCGAGTCCAAGTCTTTCTATGTTTGATTTGGATTGACATTTTATGATGTGTTTGGACCTAACCCCTGGGATAGATCTCTCACACTATAAATATAAAGAGCCGCGACTGGTTAAGTGTATCAAATAGATTTAAATATAAAACATTACTACTTCTATTATTTCTTCAGAGCCTTAATTTTTTTCAACCCCGTTTTTCTGTTGTCTTTTTGTCTCTACATCGATTTGAGACGTTCTAAGTAGCCTTAACCTTACGACAACCAAGCGATTAATTGTCCAATCCGATTGCATGGAGGTTATAGAAACAATGAGAAACGACCGAAGACTTCTCGGCTGCTGCATTGTACCCTGAATGTAACATCATTTGGAGCGGGTTCTAGAACTTCTCCATCGAACATTGTAGCAGGGAAGCATATCAGACAACACATGAGCTGGTTAGACGAGCTTTGCAAACTAAAGATAATTGTATTTGGAACGATGAGCTTCCTAGTTTTATTCTTGAGTTCTTGATAAACGATGTAACTATTCTTGATCAATAAAGCGCTGATTTGTTTGTAAGGAAACAAAGCAGCGTGGCTAGCGCCCGGACGTCCGGATGCCCGCGCCTGCACCGTATCGCGCGCCTCGACTGCTCGGATTCCCAGTTCCCACACTTCGTATCCCACGCTGCACCCCGCTTCGCATGCCCACATGGGGGCCTGCGCCCACTCGGACGACTCGCCCTGCCCACGTTGCACGCCTGCACGTGGGGATCATCTGCGCTGGCTTGGTGGCACCTCAGCAGCTACAGCAGGCGACTACAACATGTGCAACGCCAGATCTACTTTTGCAACATCTAGATTAAACACTTGCAACATACGTCTGGAACACTTGCAAAATAACTGAAAACACTTAAAAGCCATTGCAAACATATGCAACATTGAGATGAAACACTTATAACATATGTGTGAAATATATGCAACATCCCAGATAAAAATACTTGCAACATACGACTGGAAAAACACATGAAATGTTTGAAACAAACTTTTTCAACATACCTGTATAGATATTGAAACATATGCAACATCCGGATTTACTTTTGCAACATCCAAATGGCACCCTTACAACATACCGTTGAAACATCTGAAACACTTGAAACATACGTTTGCAACATGTGCTATCAGTGCAATATTTTCTTGCTCCTTAGGAGAATGGAGGCTCGTCGGCACGTGGAGTTCATTGGTGTGTAGAGCTCGCCGGTGGCGTGGATCAGAGCTCGCCGCTCCGGTGGAGAAGATAGGTGGGAGGCGTCGTGGAGAGGGAGACATGGTGGAGAGGGGCGTGGTGGAGAAGACGAGCGAGAGGCGCAGCCGAGCGTAGTCACGGAGCACGGTCGCTACGCTGGGTGAGTTTTTTTTTCTGTGGTGACTGGAGGGAGCGGATACGAGAGCCTTGTGGGCTCTCTAATCGAAACATTTACCCTAAAAAAGTGCACCAGTTCTGACGGGTCAGTCCCTCGTGGACTAGTGTTTGACAAGGGAGCCATTTTGTTCTCTTCTTGATTGTTAGGATGAAGGTGACTGGTTTGTGGATTTTAGGAGAACCCTTTCTGTTTCTGAGTTTGGAAGCTGGAATTCTCTACTGAATGAACTTCAGACAGTCTCTTTGAACTCAGAAACTGAAGATTCTATTGTTTGGGCCTTGGAAAAACATGGTTCCTACTCGACCAAGTCTTTATATAGATTCCTGGCCAATAGGGGATTCCCATGTAGGGTGGCTGGGGCAATCTGGAAATGCAGAATTCCTCTTAAGATCAAATTCTGGGACTGTTCGGCTGGTATTAAAGTCGGCTGAAGCTGTTTTATTGTAAGAAAAATATTGTAGATTCTTTCTCTGGCAAGTTTTAAATAATAAGCTTCAGGTGGGGCTTAGTCTGATCAAAAGGGGATGGAAGGGTAGTGGAAAATGTTGCATTTGTGACTGTTGGGAATCCATTGACCATGTTTTGTTTGGCTGTCGTTTAGCTAAAATGGTTTGGAGCATCTTTAGGGAAATTTATGGCTGGGGTTCTATGCCTAAATCTCTGAAAGAGTTTTCTGAATCCTGGTTACAGGGCAAGGGGCCCCTCCCACACAAGCTGCTTATATGTTTACCTTTGCAGGGTTCGCCTGGGCTCTATGGATCACTAGGAATAAGATGGCGATCGAGAAAAAGCATCCAAAGGCTCCCACTGATGTTGTGTATCTTGCATTATCTTTCCTGCAGAAGTGGTGTATTTTGCTGAAGGAAAAGGACAGGGAGCGTGTGGAGAAGATCAAGGATGACATCATGGATTGGCTGAAAGGGTTCAAGCATAGTGCGGTGATGCCTACTGACATTATGGAAATCTGAAACTTGTAATAGGCGCGTAGCTTTTGAATGTTATCTTTGGTAAACTGGTGGGTATAAGTATAACCGGTGGGTATAAGTATATTCTGGGAAGAGGGGCATTTGGTGAGGTCTACAAAGGAACACTAGAAGACCAATCCTCAGTTGCTGTAAAGAGATATATAAATGGGACCCATAAAGAGGTGTTTGCCAAGGAGGTGATAGTGCACTCTCAAATAAACCACAAGAATGTTGTTAGACTCTTGGGCTGCTGCACGGAGGAAAATGCTCTAATGATTGTCATGGAGTTTATCTCCAATGGGAACCTCAACAGTATACTTCATGGCAACAGCGCTAACGGTCGGTTCCCTTCCCTTTGGAGAAAAGAATAGAAATTGCCATTCAAGTTGCTGAAGTATTATGGTGCATGCATTCGATGTATAGTCCTGTTCTCCATGGTGACATCAAACCGGCTAACATACTGCTAGACGAAAATTTTACACCGAAGATATCAAATTTTGGAATTGCAAGACTCCTTTGTGCTAATGGCCTCCAGCAAACTTCCACTGTCATTGGTTCCATTGGTTACCTTGATCTAGCATACTGTGAGAGTGGAAATCTAACCCCAAATAGCGATGTTTACAGCTTTGGAATGGTTTTGCTGGAACTAATCACAAGGAAAAAGGCAGTGGATGGGACCATTACCCTTGCTCAAAGTTTTAATGATGCTCTTACAAAAGGGGAGGATGTGCAGCACATGTTTGATGAGGAAATCAGTGTTGCAGAAAACAAGAAGTTTCTTGCAGACATTGGACAGTTAGCAGCTAAATACTTGCAGAGGGACGTGAAAACACGTCCTGAAATTGTTGAAGTAGCTACTAGTCTAAGGATGATCAGGAAAGCCATGCAGAGAGAGCTGGATGTACTGTTAGCAGCATACCAATTTGGAGATCTAAAAATTTTCAGTAAAACTCAAATGAAAAAAATGACAAGAAACTACCGCATGGCCTTTGGGAAATCGATGCGTGAATGTCTCTACAATGGAGTCCTCCGCATGAATTGTCCAATTATAGTAAGACTACTTAAGACAAGTTCAGAAACTGACAGAGAGATATTTCTGAACACAATGAGCATATTGAGTCAAAAGAATCACAAAAATGTTGCGAATGTTGTTGGCTTCCACTTAGGGGCATCTAGTTTAGAGTGTGTACGAGCCTTGCTGTGATCTATCCAAGACAATGTTTGGCTCTGTATCGTTTTCTAACAGAAACCTTTATGACACTATCTGCTCCATGGAAAAACTTCCTCTTCAACAATGCCTGTTGATAGCAGTCCAGTGTGCAGAGGGCCTGGTTCATATCCATTCATTAGCAGCTGAAAATCCTGATTCATGTGGCACCAGCCTCTTAGGAAACTTCAGATCTGCCAATATATTTCTGGACAAGAACTTTGTGCCAAAAATCTTCAATGTGAACTTGTCAACATTTCTTGGACTTTCTGTTGCACAGAAAAATATTGTGTTTCCTATTCATGACAATGGACCAGAAAAGTATTATTCAGACCCAAGGGATGTTTCTGGTCAACTTTTTAACCAAAAATCTGATGTATATAGCTTTGGAGTTGTTCTTTTAGAGCTCATCACTTGGAAGACAGTGAGATACATGTACCATGGTAGGGCTCATGTGCTTACCACAGACTTCCTTGATTCTTATAGGAGAGACCGTAATGCAATTGGAATTTTTGGCAAGGTTTGTGATTATTCTGATGAACATGGAGGGTACTTTGTTCATGAGGCCATTTCCATTGCCATCGATTGCTTACAACCTGATATTCAAATGAGGCCAGAAATGGATCATTTACTTTTCCGTCTCCGGATCATTGTTGCTAGAAGCAAACTTGCTGGTACGCGAAACATATTCTCTTCTCATATTTGTCTGTCGGCCTTAACCTGGTAGATACACACATAAAAAGCAAATAAAACCTGTAGCACTTAAGGTTTAGGTATAACTTTCAGCACAATAAAATTTCACCCTTACCATATACACCCTTCTTTGCTGAATTTTCGTTTGCAATTGTGTACCATGTATATAATTCAAAATATACTATTTGTTGTGCCATAGTGCTCTTCCAGAGAAGCAATAACCTTAGATACTGTATTTACTTCTTCAGTTTAAATATGTGTTGAATATTAGTACAATTTGGTTACATTTTGGACTTGAGTTCAGTTAGGGGTTAGGATGGAGTTTGAGTTGGACTTTGTAACCTAGAGGGACATAAAAAAATGAGGCCAATCCTTGTTATAACCGATGGGACAACTAACAGATGTCCAAACCTCGTTAAGAAACATTGTGCCTCAGTGTCGTTTTCGTTTGCGTATTTTCTTCTATCGTGTTTATGCTTTCACGTTCTTTAGTAGATCCGTTGGGGTCTTGGATTAACCGTGCAAACACTTCATTTTCTTCAATGCAGCTGGTAGTAAACTTCATCCAACTCTCATATCAACCATTTCCATGGAGGAACTGAATGAAGTAACCAACCATCCGCCAAATGTTTCCTGGGAGTTCTTAAAGATGGGCAGAATTTTTCTGTAAAAAAGCTTGATATTTCTGAAGAAATTCAAGTAGAGGTCATGCCTGTGTGCCTTGCTTTTTTTTAACTTTTCCGGTTATTGTTCTTCATTTATTGTTCTGTACAACAAAGGATTACCTTCTAAATTATACTTCTGTTGCAGGTTCCGACCATTTTAAGAATGTGTTACCATGACAATGTTGTGCAATTTCTTGGATGTTTTCTTGAAGGGAAAACTCGTGTTCTTGCTTATGAGTACGCCCCAAAGGTCTCCTTGCATGATATTCTTCACGGTATAATGGAGGAACACAAGATTTACTTCCATAAGTTCCTAGCGTGATCATCTGGTGTTTTCTTGTCAGACATAGGTCAATAGTATGATCTATGTTAAACTGTTAAACCACTTGTATCGACTGTATTGTTAGTCTGAATAATCTACAAACTATCAAACATGGAAACGCCAGCTGATATTTTTCATGCTTGACATGATCTTAGGTAAACAGGGCGTCAAGGGAGCCCGACCAGGACCACCTTTATCATGGTTGCAGCGTGTGAAGATTGCTGTAAGTGCTGCAAAAAGCCTCGAGTTCCTCCATAAGAAGGTTGATGCTCCCACATTCATGGCAGCATCAAGTCCAGCAACATACTTCTCTTTGACAATGATGTTGCAAAAATAGGAGATATTGGTGTCTCAACACAGCTAGCCCCTAACAGGTTTGATGGGTACTATGACACTGTTTGGCCTTTTATCAAGGATGGCTGGGAAGTACCACCTGAGTATGTGATAGACCACACTTTGAGAATTACACTTATGCCTAGGCTGATAAATGATATGCCAGCATTTCTGCTACTTATGTGCTGCTTCCTTCTTTGAACTTGTTAGGTGCTCAATGGGTGGGCAGTATAGCACAAAGAGCGATGTCTTCAGCTTCGGGATTGTACTGTTGGAGCTTTTAACTGGTCGCAAAGTAATTGATTATACAAAACCACGTGGCCAACAGAGGCTAGTTACATGGGTACATATGGCAGAATTCACTGTTTTACTATACTTAATTGAGCGGCAGACTCCTGCCTTTTCTTTTCAAAAAAAAAAGAATTCACTGTTTTAGTTTCTTTATAGGATGCAACAGCTAATTTGCTTATTCTAAGATGCAGGCTATACCAAGGCTTAGTGAAGACAAGTTGAAACGGTGCATAGAAGGCTTGGAGGAGGGTACCCACTAAAGGCTGTCAGCAAGGTAATGATATTGTTAAGCCTGGATGTTGTGTGCTGGAGTGAGCAAGTTGAGGTCTATACAGTGTGACTTGAACATAACCATCTTTTGACATTGGAAAAGGGAAGACATAATCATTTTTCTATTTTCTTTTAAATGGAATTTTTAGATCATGTCTGTTTGTCCTGCATTTCAGCTGAACTTATCCAGAAAATAGTATTTAGGGTCAGACAGATATAGCTTCTGCTCTCCACTTTGAAGAAACAGAGGGCATGCTCCACAATAACTCAAGCTTTGCCTCGTGAATCTTGACACAAACCACCAACATAAAGCAAACAAACTTTCTATTGATTTAAATATTCATATTATTTTAAAAGAGTATACACTTTAACTAAGGGTACGACTTTTTGTAACACCCTAAAATTTGCCTCTCTTGAAATAGAGCTAAAATGATTTAATTTTGTATTTTTATACTCATGAAAACATGGAAAAATAATAAATTTTCATTAGATTAAAATTTATCTTAAGGTAGAAACATGTTTGTTGCATTTATGCCGGTCGCACCTTGTGTTTCTATGTGCAAAATGTGTTTTTTTAAATACGTTTAGGAGACGAATATCTATTTCTAGGAATTTTCCAGCTTCTTTCTGAAATTTAATTCCTACCTCCTTCACCTTAATCTTTATGTTCTAAGTTCTCAACAATCTTTTCATGAGCTCCAAATACTTTATTTGGGTTCATCATGTTCCAAAGTGTTTCTGGGAATTTTCCCCAAATTTTCGGAGGTCTTGGAGTATTTTTCATGGCTGAAATATCAATTCTGGACATTTCTAGAATTATTTTATTCATGAAATTAATTAATTTCGAAAATAAATAATATATCTCATTTTCCAACCAACTCTCAAAGCCCATGCGTAATAATCCTAATAAATCTCAAAAGTCCATGCATTTATTTACTAATGGGTTTTAATGATTATTTAGGTCCATTAGCAACATTAATTAGTATCATATTGTTAGTTGATGTAGATGTGGGGAGTTTTTCTTTCTATAAATATGTACCAATTTCTTGGGCAAAGCACATTAAAACTACCTTAAGGGGAGCCCCTAGTTTGGGAAATCCCTCGTGTAATAAATTAGATTTTTCTTCTCTCGCCGTCGCCGTCGTCGTCGCGCTGCCCGACATTGTAAACCCGTCGTTGATCGCAAGAAGGCCCTAGGTGAGTTCGCCGTCTTCTCCTCTTATTCCCTGTGCTCTCGGCTCATCAAACCGTGGCCTCTAGGGCCTAAACCAAGCGCTCCGGGTAATGGAGCTCCGCTGCGTCAGTTTGCTTCTCCGACCGGTGACTCAATCCCCTCCTTTCTAATTTGGGCCATCCAGATTCAATTCAACGGTCCAAGATCGTCCGTCGTCGGGTTTATTTGCAAAAGAGCCCCTGCAGTTTCACGTAATATAACCCGCAGTCCATGGTGCACTTCCAGAATACGTTTTTCTATTCCGAAAGTGTAGTTTCTTTCTAGTAAATTCAGAATACGTTTTCTCTTTCAGAAAGCGTAACATCCCTCTGTTAGATTCAAAATACGTTTTCTTCTTTCAAAAACATAATTTCTTCGGTTAGATTCAAAATACGCTTTCATCTATTTACAGTTTTGCCACTAGTCTTATTTAGGCCATAAAATCTTTGTTTTAACTCCGCTTTGATCCATTCAAGTTGCGTTAGATTCGCAATTGAGTAATCTACATGTTCATCCTACTGTTAAATATATTTTCAACTTTTAAAATTCGAGGTTAGATTTAATCTATTGTTTTATTAAAAGAAATCTTGTTTGATTCATAACTTTTTCGTTATAGCTCCGATTAGAGTGCTTTTTACGTCTGTGTGTTCGTAGCGAGACGTAGATTCATTTTACAAACATTTCATCTTGATTTTATATTTAGTGTACTGCTATAATTTAGATCTATTATTTGCTTCGTGTATGATTATATGGATGCTTGTGTGGTGCTCTATGATCATGTCCAGTCGGTGAGCTATACGTGGTGAATCAAGAAGTAGATCTTTGAAGGTTTGAACTAGAAGAAGGATATGAGTTTAAGGCAAGTATAGCATGGGATCTTTCTTGTCCTATACACATATAATCATTTAATTCATACTGCATGTGTCTACCTTGACAACCGTTGTAATTTTTCTAGTTATTTAATATCTTGGATTTCTTGTCACCTATGGGGTATTGCATTGGTTAGTATGATGCTAGTGCTCAACTAAAACCATGATCTTGTAACTTAACTAATGGTATATGCAATAAACACTAAAAGATGTTTTTTAGTAACATAGAATTAGGGGGCTAGAGCATTGGGCTGTTTTTATGGTGCTCTAGATTCCTCTCCCTAAGGACTTATCTGTAAGTGATCAATCGGGAGTTATAGTACAGCTGTGAGGGCTACATGGCTCTGGCTTTAGCTCAGTATGAGAACATTTTCTAGCGTGTTAGTGGTTACCTTTATTGGCGTAAGAATGGCTTGACGAATCGGATATAGTGCGGTCTCTGTCCCCTTGTGTATAGACTGCGTGTTATTGTGCCATCGGGAAGGGGGGCTCTACATCTGCTTGCCGAGTGAATCTAACGGCCCTAACTTGTTAGACGAACCTTTGAAAGGCTTTATAGTGAACCCTGCCGACCTTCCTTGGAAGTGGGTCAAGAGATTAGCTACCTCGGACGAAAGGGTAAATCACGACTCACAGTGAAAATATACAACCTCTATAGAGTGTAAAACTGGTATATCAGTCATGCTCACGGTCACGAGCGGCCTTGGAACATTTATGGAATAAATGATCATTAATGGTTAGTGATGATGAATACTGATGATACTGATAATAAAGATGCTCACTAATAAATACTATTTATGCTATTCATTATTCATGTTTACCTGATCATGTGTTTATGGGCTTATGATAACTTTGTTATCACCCTATTGCTAAAATCATGACTCAATAAAAGCTAACCGCAGTTAAACCAGTGTCAGCCTTTTGAGCCTCATGAACCCCATGTTATATTTGTTGAGTACGACATGTACTTACATTTGCTTTATTTTTCACATATTTAGAAAAAAAATCCTGGATGGGTATCAGATTGATAAAGTTTGGAGGAATTAGACTTGTAATCAACTAGTTAGTTGTCCCTGTGGATTGGAATCTTTACCCGAAGATCGAAGTTGTCTTTCTGCTGTTTGTTGTCTAAGGTTATATCCTTTATACTAAGTATATTATATATTGAGCATTGTCTTTTGATATTACGCTTATTTATAGCTATATGTGAGATTTAACTTTTTGGGCTCACATATGGTGCGTATCTGGTTTTGTTCTTAAAATCGGGTGCTATAAAGTGGTATCAGAGCAATGCTGACTGTAGGACATAAGTCTAGTAGAAACTGGTTGTTCTAAGGTTTAGAAGTTGCTAAAAAACCCTTGCTCTATGAATCTTGATTTTTTCTTCTCTATTGTAACTCTACCTTTGCTATTCATCTCTACCTTGGTACTTATTTAAAGTCTTTGTTCTCATCTTCATTTCCTGATTTGATATGCTTTTAGAACTGTTCCTCACCATCTTCTTGCGTAATCTGAAGATGAGTCTTAGGATTGTTACCCCTAGTACAATGAGGACGATAGTATCGCAAGTTGAGTCAATGATTGAGTTGTGCATCTTTATGGCTTTATCGAATTGTCATTATGTTTATACTTGTTTTGGATCTTTGTAATGATTGCAATGATTTTGTTGGGTGTTCCCATAATTTTATTTAGTTTATAGGCCTAAGGTATAAGGATTAATGGAATAAATAGTTGGGTTATGGTTTTCTTCTGTTTTCTCTATCCCGTCTTTTTAGAGCAGCCTGCATTCTTCGGCTTATATTTCTGATTTTGGACGACCAAAAATCATAGAAAAATTTTATACATTAGTAGACTTCAATATCTTTCGCTGACCACAGGAATCACCTTGATAGCTATGTTGGTTATGGAGTGATGTAAATCACAAGATGGTGCACCTGTGCTGTCTGAAGCCTGAAGTAGTTTCTGCTGTGCACTGTTTTTTACTACCTTAATTGCAGAATCTGAAAAAGTGTTCTACACAAAAGTTGTAGGGAATTTCATCATATTTCCAACGATATAAGCTATAACTTCATTGAATTAATAGAATGAGACTTACAACTGTTTTACTGCGCTGCTGTTTTTCTGCTCGCGAGGAATTCTAGATTTCTTGTTCTTGCCCATACACGAGAGTATCACTGGGATGTCAGAACGTCTTGATACTAGTTAGCTCATCTGGAAGAAGGTGCAAGCCATCCTTTTTGTGTCCCCTAGTTGATCTTTTCTTAAGGGGTAGTCTAAGTGAAGGTGGTTTTGTAGATTCTAGCTCTCGCTGTGAAGGAATCTTGTCAATTATAATCTACCGCCATTAAATCCCCCATCTATAGAGCAAGCTTTGATGAAGCAGACTCATTTATTACAGATTATTGCTTAAAGAGTGTTGAACAACCCACATCAAGCGCCACCTATTGACAAGCGTGTTGAATTTAAGAAGGGTCCGAATGCTCAAGGTGCCATATGAAGTTCAGTTATGCTCTCAAGCTCTCATTTGGAAGAATCAGTTAATCTGATAAGAAAGATGGTACCCAGAGAATGTATATCACTTAAGGGTTTCATCATCCAGAGTAAGTATCATTTGCTCGGTTGATAAGTTATTGGATCATATATGAGCAATGGATGCATTTGTCAATATGACTTTGCAATTCGAGCTATCCTTAGCTAGGAGTCTAATCTTCAACATACCTAGGACAAGTAGGCGTTGATGGCATAGGAATGAGATATCTGATAACTACAGATGGTTCTATGGAGTCTCAGGAAATCCCAATGATATACTAAGCATGATAAGAAGGTTTGAATTGAAGTAATCAATGTTTTATGACTTGGAAAAGTGCTATCACTTGGAGAAGCAACGTTGACAATGTCTTTAGCAAGA